TTGCCAAGTTCACATCACTGAGAAGCTTGTCTGTCACATGCCAGGGCTGTGTGAATCAAGATCGTTTTTTAAGGGCTATATCGTATGGAGTTATTTGCTTTTCAAATCTGAGTCTTCTTGTTTCTCTCCCAGATCACTATGGTTTTGTGGCTTTCGGAATAAGTAGTTGCTAGGAACAAGACATTTCCGGTAGCCTGACCTCTGGCCTGTGTGCCTCAGGGAATGGTGGGCTATACCTTGGCCCTGACAACTTGGTGATGGGGTGTGGCTCACTTGAAGACAATCTGATACGAACACACAGAAACACATTAGGATAGGACTGGTCATGCTCCAGAAATTTTACATTCCAGGTTCTTTTCATATGCACATTCGATTATCTCACACACAAGTCTTTAGGAATGTGTAAACAAACTAGAAGAAGCCCCCTACCGTTGTCCTCAAGTGTTCTCTACCTGTGCCCACAGGCAGAATATGCCAGACTCCAACTGCTCAATACAGGCACCCTTTCCAGTGTTTATACGCGGGCACCTAGGCTGTATGGAAGAGGAATTCCTGCCGGTGACAGAAACATCCGGTTTCCAATGAATCCAGAATTTCAAAGCTCTCTCTTTTTTGTGGCATTTGTGGGATACTCCACCAGCTAAAGACTCAAGGCTCGTGAAATTCCATTTTTTGTCTATCTTTTCTGATCTCAACTCTTTGCCCCTCTTCTTTTCCTTAAATATTGTTTCATATGAATTTCTTTACCAGTCATTTCAAAGTCATGTTCAAATAAGCACACAGTGAAAGTGTTCTGCTAGCGACAGATTGTGCAAGTCAGCCTCCAAAGGTCTCGCTGAGTATGTAAATGGCACCTGGAACTTAGCCCCGCTCACTCACATACCTGGCAATATTTAAAATGAGTCTAGGTAGGATGAGCGATGAGAGGATGGGGGTGGGCAACCTTTCTTTGCCTCTGTGTTATCGCAAGGACCTCCAGACACGTGGGTCAAACCAATCCCCGTTACGATGTTCATAGATGGTTTGTCTTCTTTTTGGCCAACATAATAGAGACTAAGGAATGGATTAACTTTCAGACAGATGATCTACCCTAATGGTCTTCATGACCCAAATTTAGCTTAGCTCTTATCGGCTGGTGAGCAAAACCAACCCAATTATAACTGAAGCTTAGCAGACTGACCGTCGGCAGTCTCCAAGGAGCAGCCAGGCTCCACCTAGAGACACGAGCAGGCAGGGTGTGGCTATCAGGCTCAGTGACGGGCTTTTGCTTGCTTTCCCCCCCAACTTTTTTTTTTTAATGAAGAGGAATATTAGGGTCCATTAGAAAGTTACTAACTCTGTGCCTATCGTTGGAAGCCTTTTCTCTCCTCTTAAGAAGAGACACCCCCAACCTAGACTTAGTTAAGTCTAGACAAATACTAGACTTAACTAAGCAATGAAGCAAAAGATCAAGCTGTTCTAATGAGCTTATACTGTAACCAACTTTATTGAAGAAATCATTGAACCTTCCACAAATGTCATCACAATCACGAGGAGCACCGTGGTGGTAGGGGCTCCATCTGAGCCAGTGACCCAGAGGGAAGTCATGAGAGCATTCTAAGGGCTCTGCACTTGACCTTGTCCCAGTTGACATTTTCATCAGCGGCTTGCACAAAGATGTTTCATGGAAGTGTTCATGCAAGACTGGAGGCAACGGCTAATACCAATGCTGGACTGGGAAAGGGTACCGAGCTGCCTGCCTTTGGGCCTTGTGAAGTGGAGGTCACCACTCTTAGACCTCATTACTTTAAAAACACATAAACAAAACCGGGGTGGGGGGCTGGGTGGGAGTGGGTCCACGTGGCTTGAAATGCCCGAGACCTACAGACCTCTAATGACAGCTCTGAGGCAAGCCAGGAAGATGGACTAAAATGTTTCTGAAGCCAGAAAGAGTTTGTATATGTGGTACTGGTGGTCATCAAAATGATTAGAGGTGGCTGCTGGCATTGAGAGGGAGGGGGACCGGCAGTACCATCCCAGGAAGGGAGAGCCTTCGCCAACTGCCATAGTGACCCCAGAAAGGAACGTTGGGCTGCAACAAACAAAACAATTTTTAGCAGAAATACAAAATTCTTCATTTTTGGTGAAGCAATCAATTGCATAAGAACAGGACAAGGGGGTGTATGGTTTCAGTGCCGTCTGTATAAAAACGAGCTGAGCATTTTAGTTGACCACAAGCTCAAGAGGAGGAGGGAGAATGAGGAAATGGCGACAGCGCTAACACTTCAGCTGCCTGACGGCGCCCAGAACAGGGAAGCGTCCAGAACAAGGGAGCAGGTCACTGCATGGAAATCCGCATTAGCCACACCGGCTCCACAAAACATTAGGGGCGTGCCCGGGGACTGAAGCTCTCTGGGATAGGACCACCAGGAAGCACAAGAGGTTGAACCCACGGCATGGGAAACGGGGAAGACCAGTGAGTGTGTCTAAGGGACAGAGAGTGGAAGCTAGTGGAAAATCCAAGAGTTCTCACCCAGAGGACTGAGGGGCAGAGGTGGGAAGACTGAGCAGCGGGCGGGCAAGGAAGGAGACCTTCCGGATCATCAGCACTGGCCAGCTGCCTGGAGAGGACAGACACCGTCACCCTTCAGGGAGGGACCACGAGCCTTTCAGGCAGATAATCTGCAAAGTGAGTGCCGGCTGAGACTGGACAACCTCAAACGGGACCCTCCTTCCCGACCTCTAGGATCCCAGCATTGTGTGTGGTCTAATTCTCAGGAGCCTTCCTGAGCTTTACAGGTAGATACAATCGTCCGTTTTTATCTGCTTCATGTACCATCCTGACTTGAAAAAGGACATTGTTTTCTTTCACTACTACAACACTGTGCCTCTGATCATCTAGATCCCTGATCATATACGATGCACCTTCAGATGGGGGAGAACACGGGGGGTTGCTGCCAGATGAAAGTGAAATTGACTACCCAGACTCCGGCTGGCATGGAGCCGGCCATCTTTGTTCTCTTAATTATGAGCTCTCCATGGCGTAAGATGGACGTCAAGCCTCTCTGGCATTAATATATAACTAATAGAAATGGCAACTTTTCTACGTAGGGTTTCTACGTAGGCAAATATGTTAATACGGTGTCATGCACTGACTGGTCTGGAGGACTTGTTCTAACATGGATTCACACATGTTCCAGTAATGTCGCTCTGAGTAAACTTGAAGGCAGTCCATAGTCAAAGAAACCACAATACGACCTATGCGGCTGGGCTTAGATAATTATCGCAGATTGAGACAAATGATCTACACTAGTAGCTGAATTATGCAACCCTCCTTGGTCGGAGATGGTCTCTGCTGGATGCCTTTTGTCTCAATACTTAGTAAGTATGAGTGTGGACCGGTGCCTGGTTTTTTGTTCTCATTCTGTAAAAATGACTTCACAGATACAGGCCAGAAGTGCCCACCTATGAAAGAACTTAGGATAGACACAAATCTTAATAACCCTTCCGGTCTAGCTTAGCTGTGAAGCTATTCCTAGAAAAGACATCGAATTTAAAAGCATCATTCATCTGGGATAGATATTATTTCTGTCCTTCCCTGTAGGTCAGCGATATACACTGGGTCGTTCTGGACAAATCACAAGCCTGATGTAGGAATATGTGCCAAGCACAATATGTGGTGTGAGCCCTGAAATGTACATTCAATCCACGTAACACACACGATGGGAGCTGAAATCTGAGCTTAGTGTTTAATTCCAATGTTGATAAAGAAAGTGTCCAAGTAAACACCACATTTCTTAATCCAGTTGGTTTCCACAATATCGAACAGCATATGCGAGTTTCAAAAATACTTAGCAGTTCCTTGAGCTTTTGTTAAGTTGAATTCAACTGTGGAGTTAAAACTTGCAAAAAATAATGGGCTTTTTGGAACAGCAGTTTTCGTTCCTTTTGATTTCATTTTGTCTTTTATTCATGGGGCAGAAACCAGATCCTCAAGTTCAAATCCCAAATGTGGATCTGCTCTGCCACCCTATCTCTTTTTTGACTTTGAGTTTACCCTCTGTAGGGATTTCCTTTAGGCGGGCAGAAGAGTGAAGATCTATCAACTGTGACATTGTGGTCAATAAGCAATCCCTTATAAAAGTTCTTTAAGGCTAAGGCCATTACTCCTGACCAGGTGACAAAGCTCTGGCCAACTAAAATGAAGCCCTATACTATAGGGCATATGAGATGAGATTGGAGAAGTTGCTTTAAAACGAAGCCTCCTCTTCCTCCTGCTTTTGGTCCACTCAGGAGCAAAGGGCTGCTTGATGTGGGGATACCTCAATCCGTACACACTGTCAATGACAATTTTTCCGGTGGTCTATAAATCTCTATGCTTTAAAGCTGAATCTCCCCAGTCATTTCAAACTACCAGGAAGCCTGCTACCATGTGCTACTGAGAGCTGAAGCTGAGTGCTTAGAATGTAGCAGAGAACCCAGTGTGATCATCATCATGAAGAAACTGCTAATTATTTTTGCCTTCAGAACAAAATGATATCCAAATGTGACCGGAAATACAGGCAGACACAAAGGCAACCAAGCTTTTGTGCATAAGTGCATGTACAGCGTGAGGCTACGAAACACAAGGAGAATTCATAGGGCTCATCCTGATCCCTGCTATTTCCAGGACACATTCCCGTCAGGACTCTTTAGAGGATGAGAGCTGGACCCCCAAGTTCTTGGCTTCTCCCTGCTCCTCAGAGCTCCGTAATCCTGGGTTTAAAAAGCACTCCCCACTTCCTCCCCAGAACGTCTAACTTGACCACGTCCACAAACCTCACAGCCCGGCAGATCTATGCAGGAACCTGTGGCCCTGCCCCTGCACAGCCATCAGGCTGGAGGATGGAGGCCATGGAACCTGGCGTGGCCTCCGGGGCCCTCATCCCATCTTCCGGCTCCCCGAAGAGAACGGGGCCTGGGCAGACATGACCTGCTTTAAGCCTGCACCCCATGACCCTGAACTCTTGGTGATGTCATACCTTTTCTTCGCTGCTGATGTTCCGGGTAGAGGTCCTCCAGGTGATGGTGGGAATGGGGTCTCCCGAGGCTTCGCAGGTCAGAGTGACTTGTTCCTCTAGCTCCATCGCGGTCTGGTTCTCTACATAGGTGATTTTGGGTTTTGCTGAAAAGATAAGATATGTGTGAGTTTGTCTGATTTTTTTTAGTTTTCTGGGTTTAAATTCAACCATGTGCCCACTCATCAGGTTACAGACTTACGGAGTATAAGACCGTATTCTAGGTGCTGTGGGAGCTACAGAACTGAATCCCTGATGGACGTACACTTGAGTAGGTGCGTGACACCATCAGTGTGCGAGCAAGAAACACAAGATCCTAGAGAAAGAACACTCAGGGCAGAGGGTAGAGAAGGCAAGGGCAGAGGTTGAAGCCTTCATGAGGAGAAAGCTTTCAGGCTGGGGCATGAGATCTTCAGTACGTGAAACTTTGGGATGGAGAGAGTCATTCTCAGTGTAGAAAACTACCTGACTGGGAGCAAAGAAGCAAGGACACGGGAGGAGGGCAGTGTGATGGGGGCTGGTGTTGGCATATGGAGGCGGGGGGGAGGTGGGGCCCAGCCCAGGCGCAGGGTCATGGCCGCCTGGTTATGGCGCTTGCTTTGAATGGTCTCCGGGCACTGACAGAAGCCCACTGGTGGTGTTTGATCAGAGGACTGAAATGATCGTTTGTACTTCAAGAAGGCTAATCTATGAAGGAATTCAAGATGACTGAGAACAGGGGAAACCTTGAGGTGAGAAAACCAATTTGGAAGCTCTGACAGGGCTCCAGATGTGGCGAAATAGAGTCCCGAACTGGGTGGTCCCAGAGGAGGAGGGGATGGAGGGGCAGACGGGGAAGGGCGGCTTGGAGAGAGGTGCTCACGAAAGGTTTCGCTCGAAGTGCCAGATGAACAGAGGGCAAACGAGGCATGGCAAGGACGAAGGAGGGAATGAGAAGGAGTTCAAGTGACTCTGAGCTTCTCAGTGACTGGGAGAGCTGTGTTAGCTTTGACTCAAGCAAGGAAATGGGGCGAGAGAGGAGTCGGGGGCTGCAGAATGGGCTGGGGTGGAAAGGAGATGAGATGGGTTCATTTTCCAAATGTTTCGGGTAATGCCAGAAAACATGAGCATTCAAAAGAGGAGTTAAATGCTAAACATTAGAGAAAATTGACTTTTCCTGATTTAAAACAATTATATTCTGAAATTGCAAAACCTTCCACAGAAGAGAAAAGATAACACAGCACAAATGTAACTTATTTCGCTAATGGGGAAAAAGATGAGGCGAGATAAACAAACAAACAAACAAAATAAATCAAATTTATGGATAATTTTTGAAAGAATTACATTTCCTTTATATTCAAATTCATACGCCACCCATGAGTAGGTTAATAAACTCCTCCCTATACACTTCCTACAAGCTGAGGCCCCCCCGGTTCTGCTTTTATGTCTAGGCTGTGCATTTTCTGCGGCAAATACCTGCTTCTATATAAAATTATCCATTTAGTCAAATATTCTGCTACAGTTAATCTGTACTAAACAGCTTGCTTGGCAAGTCCTTTTTTGATGGCAAGCACCCAGGCACGTCTCAATCCAACGGGGCCAAATGATCACGAATTGGAACTGACGGAGATCACTTGAGCCAGATTTTCCCACAGGAAGGTTTTGTGTTGCTCTTGATAAACAAGACTTCCAAGGTGGTCACAACTCATAACGAAAGGACTGTTAACTGCAGCCAGACAGGAGGTTTTTTTTTTTTTTTAGATTTTACTTATTTGAGAGAGAGAGAGAGAGAGTGAGAGAGCATGAGAGGGGAGGTCAGAGGGAGAAGCAGACTCCCCATGGAGCTGGGAGCCCGATGTGGGACTCGATCCCAGGACTCCGGAATCATGACCTGAGCCAAAGGCAGTCACTCAACCAACTGAGCCACCCAGGCACCCCAGACAGGAGGTTTGAGAAAGATAAAATAGAAGTTGAATTTCTATACTGTTAAAATCACAGATTGAAACGTGTAATGAAGGGGCACCTGGGTGACTTAGTTAAGCATCTGCCTTCGGCTCAGGTCATGATCTCGGGGTCCTGGGATCCAGCCCTGCATCGGGCTCACTAATCAGCAGGGAGCCTGCTTCTCCCTCTGCCCCTCACCCTGCTCATGTTCTCTCTCACCCTCTCTCTCTCAAATAAATAAAATCTTCAAAAAAAAAAAGTGTAAAAAAATAAAATTCAGCCACACAACCGAATTCACTGAACAGTTGTTTGAATTTTTGGCCTCTTGAAACCCAGATGGAAATCGTGACCTAAACAGTGTTTGCTGGACTCTTCCTGACCCCTAGGACTTCGTCCAGGCATCAAAAGGTTAACAGAAGACAGACAAGGGATAGATAACTTCTACTAATATCTGGTTTGGCAGCTCCATTTCCCAGAGGGTTACAAAGGGTCCACTGCACAAATCTTTAGAAAAAAGCAAACTATATTCTTACTAAAAGCATTATCAACAACAGCTGATTTTGTATAGTCTACAGAGGGCCGTTGGAAGGCGGGCAAGCTTCTCACTAATGACCTAACCTCTCTGTACTACAGAAGCAGCAGGCCCATTGTCAGAACTCATTGAAAGCTCAGAATATTGCCTTGGAGTTAGAATATCAATATAATTTATTGTCCCGATCAGGGCACTCTTGAGAGTGAAAAGGGATGTTCTACATAACTCCCCCGGGACAAGGGCATCATCAGGCAAACAGGGGCAGATGCAAGGTTGCGTCCCTCTGCACACAGCATCTAGAGGAACATCTCCAGGTTTTGTCTTCAGATGGTACTTACACCTTCTTAATTAACGTCTGTTGCGGGCCCTTGACTTTGGATCCCCGTTCTATTTTCTGCCTGCTAGAGTAGGACTTACTGCCTCCGAGTGTTCCATTGCACTTCTTCCCACGGACCCTCCTGGGAGCACAAATGTCCATGGGACTTTTCCCAGCACAACGGCTCTTCTCTTCTGGCAAGCCCATGGCTCTGTACCCTGCCACTGAGGGGTGGTCTCGTCTAGTCCCACCCCAACCCAGGCTCCTGCATTCCCCAGCCCAAGGAGGGCTCTGGGGCCCTGCTCCTCTGAACTGAGAGGCTGGACATGACCCGGTGCAGCTCCCTTCGGTGTTGTAATTCACAAGGACTGCTTTGGTCCTAAGGGGTCAGATAAGCAAGGCCACTGGTGAACCCGCCTCAGCCCACAGCAGCATGAGACCTCATAAGCATTTGTGTGAGCGTAACAGGAATATGAGGAGACAAAAATACTTTTTCAGAAGAGCCCACAGGGGAGAAAAGCAATGGAAATTCACTGCCAAATTTAAAGAAAGGTAGGGTGTAACTACTTAGTAAAAAGAGCTTCTGGCTGATAACTAGGGCAATGCAGGCTAGAACATCCCCGTTTCTTAGGGAAAAATGATGTCAGTAATGTACAATTATGGCAGTCTCTAATTTAGACGTGCCCCGTACTGACTAATTGCCTTCCCGTCTTGAATCACAGGAGTTCTGAGCTCTGGTTCTACGATCCGAGCTACTGGTTTCTGTGTGCTTCTGTCTCACTGCTGCCAACTCGGCCTCCACGGGGGGAACCTGCCTCGCTTCCCCCCTAGCGCTGGGCCCCGCAGCAAGCCAAGGGGAAGAGGCAGGACAGAGAGTAAAAGGAGGAGGGAGCCCCACCTCACCCGCCCCTCCCCACCCCATGTCCTGGCCTTACTACCAATCTCCGAAACCAAGGGAGGCCAGAGGAGGAGGGAGAGGAGGTTAAGAACACGAAACGGACAGGAAAACAGTGTGTAGGTGAGGAAGCTTCCCAGGAGGCTATGTGAACTCCCCTGAAGCTCACAGAGGGGCTCGCGTTCTCCATGGGGGCAAGAGTCCTCGGAGTCTGTGCTTTACTTACTTGTCTCTGCAGGAGTCTGGCCACCTCTCCTCTATTTGCTTTTCTGGATAGCATCTATTCTCCCAGCTGTGGTCTTGGGGAAGAAACTGTGTGTGGGGGGGTGGGTGCAGGAGGGGATGCCTGGTGAGGAAGGGGGTGGAAAGACAAAGCCTGCCTTGCCACAGTTCCTGCCTCGTCAGCTCCGCCCCTACACCAGATCCCACTCTCCGTTCTCCACTGGCTGCATGTGGCTCCTGACTCAGTACCCTCGCCTCCTTCGTGGGGCAGCCACCAGCACCAGAGAGGCCTGCAAGAGAATCCAAGACCCGTTCCGTGTGATCCACGGTGGCACGGGGGCGCGCAGGGAGGGCACGCTACCTTCAACATTCCCAGCCATCCCATCTGTAATTCAGACGTCATCTGTGTTAAGTGGAGCTCCACGGGGTGGTAACTTCCCTTTGCTAGCTCAGGGAAAGGGACTTCCAAGCCAGCTGCCTGGGTTGGAGCCCTGGTTCCTTGGGTAGGCCACTCAGTTTTCTGGGCTCAGTTTCCTCACTTGTGACGTAAGGACAAGGATGAAATCCACCACACAGCCTTGTGCTGCGGATTACAAGTCAGTTACACACTTCAGGTGGTGCTTGACACATTGGAAGCGCTCACTTCCTGTCGGGTATTATTATTACTTTATGGTGCTAACACCTGAGAATTTCCCAAGACAAGGGATAGTTACTCATGTCTAGACTCACGTCCTTACCATCTGCCTGTGCTTCATTCACATAAAATAATCGGCTCTGCTTTCCCTTAGGCAAATTCTAGCACCTACAATTTGCCAGACACTGTCCTCGTAGCTGGGGGTTCACAGTCCGTCTGCAAAGAGCTCACGTTCAGCGTGGCACGCATCCTTCCTGCCTCCGTGTCTGTGCCCGGGCGGCCTAGCGTCCTCGCCCGTGGCCACCCTTCTTCACCTGGGAAGCTCTGCTTGGGAAACAGCAAACGGTTTGTGATGACCTCTCTGCCTTCTGTCTCTCATGACCACAGGTGCCTCTAAAACACGGTGCCCATTGCCATTCCAAAGTCCTTACAATGGGCCATCATTAAAAATTTCAGCGTCGGTCATCCGTGAGCCCACGGATGAGGACAGAGCACGTGTTATTCATCCTCATCACTTTGACAATGGCTGGGCCCACACAGGCACTCAAACATAGCCGGCCACTTATACGCTTCTATGTTCCTCTCCCTCCCCATGTTTGTCAGAGTTAAAGGACCACATCATACTCATATCTCAGACACCCCTTGGTCCAGCAACACGGCTGCTTCATCGGTATCTGTTCAACGAAGGACTACCTTAACAATGCACCTGTCTTTACAATGTGGAAGAACCTGAAACCCGAGGGAGTGGGGAGGAGAACTAGATAAGAACTGTCAAGAATGTCTCCCAAGGCAGGGACACGTGGGTGGCTCAGTCAGTTAAACGTCTGCCTTCAGCTCAGGTCATGATCCCGGGGTCCTGGGCTTGAGTCCGGCATCAGATTTCCTGCTCAGCCGGGAGCCTGCTTCTTCCTCTGCCTCTCCCTCTCCCTGCTTATGCTCGCTCTTTGACAAATAAATAAATCTTAAAAAAAAAAAAGAAAGAATATTTTCCAAGGCTGTCAGCTTTTACTCTCCAGTATATCCGTTGCTATGAACAGAACTGATAACCTGTTTCTAAACCCAACTGTCATTAACAGAGAAATAAGATTTATTTATGATGAGCAGGTCCAGCTGCACCCGTCCGAGGTCTACGACCAGGCCCAACAAGCAGGTCCCAGAGGGTTCGCCAGGCACACACTGTAGCGACCTGGGAACCACATGAACCAGAGCTGCCCTCCGGTGCCTGGCGGCACCATCTACACTGAACCAGCTTCCCTGTTTTTTGTTTTGTTTTGTTTTTTAAATGAGAAACAGAGAGTGAGAGAGAAGTGGGAAGGAGCAGAGGGAGAAGGACAGAGAGAATCCTAAGCAAACTCCATGCTCAACTCGGAGCCTCATGACGGGCTTGATCTCATGACCCTGAGATCATGACCTGAGCTGAAATCAAGAGTCGGCCGCTTAACTGATTGAGCTGCCCAGGCGCTCCATGTCTTTTTAAAAAACATGAGCAGGAAGTGTTGAAAGCCAATAGGTTAAGTATTTCTCTGCCACAAATTCTCTTTTCAAGGTCAGGTCAAGATGCATTTCAGTTCCAAATGAATGGAAGTTAACTGAGTTCATCAAGATGGAGTGAGCAGACACGAGGGGCTCTTCTCATGGCTTTGATGGCACCGCTTCACACGGGCCACGGAAAGAAGCAAGGGACACACAGGCAGTCAGCCGGTTGGTCCCTAATGTTTACCACAGGTCTTCCCGAGGCCGGCACTGGTTGGAGCGGCAGAGATAAAGCAGGAAAGAGACAGAAAAGCCAGCGATCCGCTATCCCAGGGTTTACCTGCTTCTTGGAGGTGGGAGACCACAATCTCCAGGGCAAATATGGAAATGAGGCCAGGTCGGGTAGGACAAGTGTGGTGAAGAAGGTACAGTCAGACCGATGGAAGCGCTCAGCGGGGGTGGGTGGTGCATTCACCAGGGCAGTGCAGGAGGGATTCATCGAGAAGGCAGGTTGAGGTGAGAGGTGAATGGTGCAGAAGGCAGCTCAGAGCAGATGTGGGGGAACGACATTCCAAGCAGAAGAGGTATCAAGTGCCATGTCCCGGAAGACAAGAAAGCAGCTCAGTGTCATCTGAGCCACAGAAGGAAGGCCTGAGGGGTTGGAGAGTTTTCGGTGTGGAGCAAAGTGGAGGAAAGACGAGGCTGGAAAGGAGGGCAGGGGCTAGCTCGGGTTAGGTCTCGCAGGCCAGGGCGGGCCGTCTGATTCTATTCTGGTTGCAACAGGAAGCCACGGGAGGATTTTAAACAGAGGATGGTGCTTGAGGTCATTCTGGCTACTGTGAGGCGGGGCTGAGGGGGACCACATGGCGGGGGAGGACGAGGTGGGGGCTGGGAGGCTGTCACTGACCAGGAGAGGAGGCAGATAACGTGGACTCGGGCTTAGGGGTGGAGCTGGCAAATGTGGTTGCAGCTGGGACAGATCCCAAGGCAGAGAGAATGGGGTCTTGCTGCTGGACCGAGCGTGTGGGGTAAGAGGAGTTGTGGCAGAACAATGACCTCGACCTCCACCGTCCTTACCGAAGACTTTGAGGTGGATGGACGCATCCTGCTCTCCGGCCTTATTCTCGGCGATGCACACGTACTCCGCCTCGTCACTCTTGTCCACCTTCCTGATGGTCAGCTCGGAACTGTCATCGCTGAAGATATACTTCTCGTCTTCCTCGTTCTCTATCTGTTCCCCGTCCCTACACGGTGCAGAAAAGCCAATTGTCATGATTTCGGCCACGGAAGTACAAAGTTTATTTTTAACCGATCTCCACGGAATGCAGACTGAGCCCACGGAAGGACTCGGTTTTCACACAAAGTCAACACCCCAAACTGTACTTCCACACACAAACCTTTGCTTCTGCCTAAACCTCTGTTTCTCTCCAAGGGCTACACACGGCCTACAAACCTCCCAAAGGGGGCCTCCCAGCCCACGCCCTCTAGCTCTGCCCCCTTGGAAGGAATCCAGTGCTGGAGGGGAGAGCAGCTTACAGAACGGAATCCGTGCTACACCTGCAGCTGATCCCTGCAGCCCACACCCGTGCCACGGACACACCAACACGGAGCTCCACGCTCCCTTCTCCATGAGCCCACGATAAAAGGCACGAGCCAGGTTCTTACTTTGTCCAGCTCATGGTGGGTTCTGGGAAGCCTTTGGCGTCGCACACCAGGGTGACGGACTGGCTGAGGTTGGCGGTGGCATTCACGATGCTCTGCCTGGCCTGGACGGTGGGCGGCACTGAAGGAAAGAAGAGCTGTAAGGGGGGGCTGTGAAAACCTGGAGGAACCCAGTGGCCTGGAGAAGAGGCACTTCCGGGCGACCTTAGGTCAGAGGGTCACGGCCTAGAGGTCAGGAGCTCTGGGCAGCCACAGAGTTTGTATGAGGGATCTAAACTCTGATGTGTCCTAGAAAATTATTCCAAACTGAATAAGTCATCCACAGACACGCATCAGTGGCTTTCGACAATACAAGATATCGTTACATGTGATATATAATATTGGTTTTTAATAAAATAGCTTTAAAAGCTACATTAATAGGTCTTACTCCTTTTAAAACAGGATTCAACTCATAGCAGCTAGATATCTTGAAGTGTTTTCTCAGTCGATGCATATGAATCTTATAGCTACCACGGTAAGTGGAACCTGACGCTTGGACAAAAGGGGGCTCTTGATTCCGGAAAAAGTTGAAAATGCCTGTTCTCAGTGCTTAGATGGTTAATAGCAATTGGAAATGGTTAGATGTCACCAGCTCACCAAGTGACATTTCTCTGGCACTGTCATAAACAGGGCTGTGCACAGACAGTTTTTACCAAAGGAATGAGAGGGGGAGAATTTGGCAAAAAATATGTATCAAAAGCCAAAAACAATTCAACCCTAATTTACTTATTTTCTTAGTACTGACATTATAATTTCCTGTAAACATCTTGTAAATGTCAGATCGATTCCATGGGTGTGTTTATTTGATACACAGCAGATTAAGATTAATAAACCCATGGCCCATGATTCTGACTACTCTGAGGACTGAATTGATAATAATATTTTCTTTGAACATTGAACCAAGGGGCACTAACCCCACAATCATGATAACACCAAGGACAATGAAGGATGAATCAGGATTTATTAGAAAGCACGGGGAAAGTTTCCGGTGCTGTAAGACAATGAAGGACATTCAAGAATGGCACTAGAAGTCCCCCGGGTTAAGGGAGACCCAAAAGGCAAGTGGATTCAGAAAAAAAAATCAAAACAAGCCAGAGGCTGTCCCAGGAGGGACGATTCACTTGAGACGGATGCGTGAGTCAGGACGGGATTTATTTAACAGACTGAAGAGGAAGTTACGGAGCATGATTTGGGGGTGACCAGGCAGTACTAATGGAGAGAGCAGGAAGAACGGGATCTCCTCACCGTTCACAATGACCTGAATGTCCTTGAAGTTGATCTCCCCCCGTGCCAGGATCCTGCCCTCGCAGCGATAAGTGCCCTCATCTGTTTTCTTGATGTCCCGGATCTGCAGGTAGTTGTTGGACAGGACTATGAATCGGACTAGAAGAGACAAGAGGCGGGTTCATCCAAGGGTCAGTCAGAGAACTCTGGAATTTGCAGGAAGGTTGCAGGGCTCTTCTTCTCTTCCCTAGCGACAATCTAGAGCTAGGGGTAGGGTGTGGAGGGGGGCAGTGGCTTTACACCGACATCAGGACATGCGGCCCTGGTACTGACAGCCAAGAGCAAAAGTCTACAGGAAATTTGTCTTTTCTTTGGAGACAAGGTCAAGCGCCTGAATGTGCAAGCTCGGGACATTCATGCATTCGGGACCTGAAAGGCACACAGGGCTGTGGGACACCGGGATCTGAAGCTGGGTTGGAACGCCTCAGAGGCTGGCTGAGGTGGAAACCCTAGGGGACCCAGGGCCTGGGTGGAAGGGCAGCCGCCAGGGAACTCAGGCCTCACCGTCTTTCGTCAGGACGACATCTCGGCCTTTGTGTTTCCAGATGATGGTCGGAGGGAGGGAGCTGACCACATCACACACGATCACGGCATCTTCCCCCTCCCTGAACTCTTGTGGGGTTGGTGCATTCTTGAACATGAGCTTCTCTGGAAAATGAGCAAGAGAAGAGTGAGGGCAAACAGCCGCTTCCCCCTCACTGACCCTTTTCCGCTGGAGCCACACTGCTCGGGCTGCAGCTGTAGGCGGTTCTCAGTCCAAACACATGGTGGCCCAAGAGAGGGTCCAGCCCCGTCCTTGGCCAAGACGCCGGGCAAAGCAGCGGGGGTAAGCATGGGAATGTGGTGTCGATGTTGGGCAGTCAGCGTCTACTCACGGAGTGCTAAATTCATTGTACTTCGTGTGGAAAGGGTCTACGGAGGTAAAGGAGTCTGTCAACCAAGGGTCCCTTGCCATGTGGGACGATGCTAATGAAGCACAAAGCCAGGCGGAAAGGACTGGCACGACACCTAGTCTACAAGGACTGGTCATCAGTCCTTCCTCCGTCTCCCACCCGTCTGACACCCCAAACCCATTTACCTAGAGCAGAGAACATTTTGAAGAACACAACGGAGAAAAGGCAGGCTTAATGGGAGTAAATACTATGGCAATCAATACTGTTCCATTAGCTGTCACCCACCATTACACTGGCCAACGAGACAGAGGCATGATAACAAGGTAATGAGATGCCACCTCCAGACTGGGGTTCACTGACAATGGGAACCGCCTGCTCTGAGTGGCCCAGAGAGTTCAGATAATAACCCCCCACATCCCACTGAGCCTTTGGCTCCATTAGCAGCAGGGGAGAGTGAAATAAGAGGGGAAACTTGAATGGTACGATCGTCAGCCAGCGCCTGGAGAAGGGAAGGGGAACCCTTAGCAGCCCTCTGGGAACTGTGTAATTTGAATTTAGAGAATGGAGGCCAGAGGGAGGTAGCTGGGATCCGTGTGAACCGGGGCTGTGAGTTCTGAGCTGGCTCAGGATCATTTAAGAACATGCTGGAGCTCTCTGCTCAGTTCAGAAAAGACTCGGGGAATGGAAAGGAGGAAGGCCTCAGGGGGCCCTCGGCTGACATCCCACTCTGCCTGCATCTTCTTGGCCAAAGAAGAGGACTGGCAATATGGAAGGAGACGGGGGCGGCTCTTACGGAAGATCTTCACATTGACCGTGGCCTCTGACTCGCTGCCATCCTCGCCAGTGACCACACACTTGTAAATGCCAGCGTCGTCAATGTTGGCGTTGTAGATGGTGAGCGTGGAGGAGGAGTCGTCGTTCCACACCACGGAGATCCGCTGCTGGTTCGGGGTGAGCTTCTCTCCATTGGGGGAGAACCAGGAGATGTCTTTGTCTTTGGCATCTCCTGCCACTGAAGAGGAAGAGATTATTTTCAAACCGCAGGAGTTAAAAAGATGACGTGCCCTCCGGGGTGACCAAGGGTACTCAGCAAGAGCCACGAACAAGAGGTCATGGGGCTCGATGACCCTGCAGGGAGACCATTCATGTGGAGGACGTGATACCGCCTTCCCCTGGCTTCTGTGCTTTGTCGTAACACACACACCACTACTCACAGTGCCTGGAAGGAACTCGATGACCCCCTGCGAGTACGTCTCTCCTTGGTGAGGGAAATGGAGAGGTATTTGCTGAGGACCTACTGTGTGCCGGCTTCTAAGCGAGCAGCTCCAGCCTCCCAGAAGACAGAGCAGAAGGGATTCAGGTCTAGGATCTGAGCTCAAGGGCCTGGCAAGTCTGCGCCAACTAATCAGCTTGTTTGTGAGGGCTCAGACTGTGGTCTCCAGAGTGGAGAAGGGGACACCAGCTCATCTAGGAGCGTGGATTCCAACCCGTTTTATTCTAGCATCTGGCCCCGCCAAAACTGGCACGACTGTCATTTTAGCACCCCCTCTCAGACAGACACATCCGTCTCCGTCAATCTTGCAAGGAAGACAGCCCAAATCACCCATGCGTCCTCTCCCCAGGCACCGAGGAGAGGCGGGTGCTGCTGTGTGGCCGACTCAGACCCTGTGCGGGAACGAGGGCTCCAGGCTCTCTCTGCACGGCGCCCTTCCCCAGGCCACACCACCCAGCCCTGCACAGATGCTTAGTATGGAAATGAAGCCGTCTTCCTTTCAGGGCCCATCATGTTTTCAATAAATATCGCTATTTGCAAGATGTGCTGTGGGCTCCACGGCTGCATCTCCAGATCATTTAAACTGCTGTAATGAAGGCAAAGCTGGAGTGAACACATCCAGCGGCCACCAGGCACCTCGTCCAACGCAAATCATGTTCGCATTTAAAGGCCCCTCCCTGCCAAAAGCTGCTCGCTAAATGTCACGGTTTACACCTAGCTCAGCTCAACGGCCCTGCTTCTTCCACGATCCGAATCCCAGTCCTCTCACAGCCGGGGAATCCAAAGCCTAACCCAAAGCTTTTCCTCCACAGGCCGTTTCCTGATGATTTCCGAGCTGTGGAAACGGGGCACATTTTCTAAACAAAGAACAAGGACACCAGATCCGACGAAGCCCGGGGCTCCAGCGCAGGGACCACAGGACGGAATATGGGTATTCACGACAGACCTGGAAAACCCGGGACCCACATCCTCACGGCACAAGAGACGCCAGTGTGCAATTGTCTTTCAGGCAAGTTTCTGATTTCTCTGGATTTTCGTGTCCTGGGAGATTCTAAGAAATAAGCCTTACGCTGACCCCCTGATGCACGGTTCTCCCGAGTCAGGCAGAGAACTCCGGCTGGATACAGAGCAGGGAATCCGGGGTGATTCGCTATTTGGGGACTGTGCTGACTTTCCTCAGGAAATCCCTAGCCCTCCTCCACCACCATGCAGAAGCCCAGAGGACATTTCTCTGTGTCATGGAAGCCCTTCGTGAGGGGAAGGAAGAGGGCCCGAGAGCTTCCCTGGCCCTCTGGCCACACCATCAACCCTCCAGTGGGGCAGCTCCAGGCGGGACCGGCCGCGCACACACATGGGCCACGGGCTGCCGCTGGGTTCACTGTCTTTCCTTAAATGCAGTGGGGCTCAGGGCACTTGCCTTGGCATAAGAAGAATTTGGATTCTCCAACGCTGATTTCTCCTTGGCTGGGGACGATATCCACCTGCAGAGAAACTGAAAAAGACAGAGTCCAACTGAAACACACATCAGGATTTTTGAGAAGGGAACCCAGAGCTTTCTTTCAAAAGCAGGGTCTCCCTGCTCGCATTAAGAAAGAGTGAAGGGAGGATGTGGTCTGGGTTGAGAGCCTGTCACCAAAGAATCCACGGTTCCTGTGCCAAAGCCGGGAACGGACATGGTCCGGATCCTTCCCTGTGGAATGGCGATCCCCTATCAGACAGAGCAGGGTCCTCTGGGAGATTTGGGGTGACACCCCCACCACATGTTTCTGACCTCTTGAGTAGGCCACGGTCCTGCTCTGAACAGAAGCACTTCTGGGATTCAGAGAAATAACAGATCAGTTATTTCTGGAAATCAGCCTCAAGTGTCCCCACGGCTGCGTGACAAGGAGGCCTGCCACTCCCGACCTCTCCAGTTCCCCATGTCACCGTGCTTCATGACTACAGAGGAGGAGTCACCGTGGTGACCCGGACGGATCTGGAAGCAGGGGACGCCTATCGCTCAGCCGGCCGGGTGAGTAGGGGACCCACACCCCTCTTTCCGTGAGAGGAGACGGCGCACAGCCTCGTCACTGCAGTCAGTCAGGTGCCCTCCCGGAAGGCTGTAGTCTGTGCCCTGAGGAGTTCCCTGTATCGCCTGGCTACCTGCGCTGGATTTTCCTTTGACGATCGCCGTGCTCTGTCATTCCTCTCTACGGGTAAGACAGAATACGCCGCCCGGCATCCCACAGACCGCCAGATTCACTGGGTTCCTCGAGTATCTGCTTGGAGCAGATAACTGCTCCTCATGAAAATATAGTTTTAGGGCAGGGGAAAAAACTGCTTTTATCCATTTGGATTCAACCTCCTTCTGCCTCCCCTCCTCTTAGGGAAAGTAAATGTGAAAGCTAAAAGCTAACGGACATTTGGTTCGACGCATGTCGCCTCTTCAAGCAGATACAGAGGAGGGCCGGGACCAACAGGCCGGGTAATAGAGACTCAGTGAGCCCTTCCTTCCAACGGCCATTTTCTCTGCGCCGCAGAACCGGGGCCTGCTGGTTGCCATGGAGACGGACTCGCAGGCGGAGCTGCTGCGGGGCTCAGTCTGTGCTCCGTGATGAAGGGGCCACGGGGCACTCAGCAGAGCAGACAGATCAAAGGGCCTGCGGGCGGCTGGCCAGGGGAGCCGTGGGGAGCACCGGGCCACTGGAGGCGAGACCCTGCTCGCCACCAACAACAAGGCAGACCCCAGAGAAGCCGCAGAGGCAGAGAGGGAGGATGCTGAGTGCTCCACCATGAGAACTAGAGGGGAGGCTGGACTCAGACCTCCCAGTGCTGGTTTGGGGGCAGCCAGCCACTTGCACGCTGGGTTTACTGCTGATGACTCACCCGGGGCCCAGGACTGTATTCTCAGAGAGCAGAGAAAGGGCATCCCCTACCGTTCCCAAAATGCCAGAAAACACACGGAGCTGAGAGGGCAGCTCACAATGGTTTCTCTAGCTGCGGTGCTTCTATCATCTCCTCTGGCCAGAGCTAGGTGTGCTCGGCTCCAAATCGACGGAGCCAGGAGGAGTTTCAACCAGCACCATGTTCCACTTGCTTCTTTCCCCCGCGAGAAAGACAGAGAAAGTGACTTCGCTAAGGTCACCTCTGTTTAGGGCCAGGGTGGTGGTGGCCGTAGAGTCTAGGCCCCCCCGGCTCCCGGGGAAGCGTTCTTTCCATTACAATGCTGCCTCTCTGAGTAGAGGATAAAAAGTTTCCACTCATTTGCTTTAACGAACAATCTGGAGAACATGAGGCAGGCCGCTCGGGTTCATCATCCCCTAACAGAACAGAGCAAGCCCAGAGCTGCTAAGGCTGTTTCCATCCCGGGGTACGGGGCCTGACGGAGAGGGCTGCAGGCCAGCGCCATCCATCGTGAGGCCAACCAAGGCCTTTCCACTCTGTCCGCGGCTCGCGTTCCATGGAACGATGCGCCCATGAAAGCCCCGGAGCCGTGCCTGTGCCATCCGTCACCTAAGTAATGGTCCTTTCTGGAGTTTACTGGGGCATTCTTTAGAGAATTCGAGGCGTATTTCTGCCGGAAAGGTTCATGGGCCCATATGCCGAGCATCAGCCGCCAGCTCTGACATATGGATCCTGTTATTGTCAGAGCCCTCACTGCCTCGAGAAGGATATTCTTATCCCAAGTGAAAAAACAGCCTTCATCTTTTCAGCTCTTTTCAAATGGAACATGACTCTCCGGGGGCCAGAGAACACGGCGAGGCTCAAGAGTTTCAGACCCAAATGTGGCCCGTCTCCTCCTCTGGGCCCCGGAGAGCGATCAGAAACAAGAGTTTCAAAGGAATTCCCGGCTTAAGCAGAGCCCACGCATACATTCATCATCACAGAAGGTTTTTAAAGAAGACATGTCCGTTGAAACTCCCGGCACACATGGAAAAGGTAGCGCGATTCCTCCTGCAAAGCAGCAGAGTCAAAGCTGGGCCAGAGGAACCCCAGACTCTCTGAAAGTCAACGCTTGGATGTTTTCCACCGAAGCACAATGGCTTATGACTCTTCCTCAAACGCGCAACCTTGAATTATTAGGTTTAATAACGGTACGTGGAAATCCGGCTCTACTCTCCAAACCCGTTCCCTCTGCTTTGTGGTGCCCCGTCCTCCTTACTCTATTAGGCCTTTCATTGTTTGCAATAAAAATTCCTCCCGCAACTTTTGCCTTTTTCCGGTTGCACATATAAGTGAAAATTCCTCACCAGGCATAACTCCTACCTTTAAAGACACCTAGGAAAACCCTTCTCCCTGAAAAAGTATTTCAACTCTTGCTTTGCACAAATGCTCTGCAAAAAGGCCATGTGTTACCCTACCCCCTCCTAGATGCATCCAGAGATGCACGCTGACATGCATGGGTGTCTGAACCCAAAGGGTCACCATCCCCCACGGCCAGATCACAGGTTCTGGTTTACAAAACATACGTCATTCCTTCGTCTGATGCTCACAACAGTTCAGAGACATAGGAAGGCCTACCTGATTGTCTTCATCCTATACAAGAGAATTTTAATGCTCAGAGAAGCAAAAGAACTGCTCAGCTAATGAGCAGTTAAGATTCAAAATCATCTGATCCCCCCCCCCAATTTATTTATTTGACACACAGAGAGAATGCACAAGCAGGGGGAAAGGGAGAGGGAGAGGGAGAAGCAGACTCCACTGAGCAGGCGGCCCAATGCGGGGCTCGATCCCAGGACCCGGGATCATGACCTGAGCCGAAGGCAGATGCTCAACAAACTGAGCCATTCAGGCACCCCAAAATCATCCGATTCTAAGGCTCCAGCTCTTCCCTCTACACTCCACAACCACCACTGACCTTTGGCTGGCCATCTCATAGGCTCATGATGACCTAGTAGTTACCATTTGCTCTCTTTCCAAATCATGGGCTAGAAGGAACAGAGTGTACAAACATCTCACAGTCAAATTGCTCTTTCGTCTCTACCCTGGTTAACTCTAATGGCCTCTTCGCACACATAGCTATATTATATGATCATAGCATTATAACTCCGATTTCACAGATGGGGAGGTGGAGGCCCAGAGCCATAAGTAATGGTAATGGGGGAGTCCAGATTCCAACCCAGGCTGGATGGAGTCGAAAACTCCAGATATTTCTGCCATACTCTTCTATCCCTTGTGAACAGACAGAAAAAGGGTTCTCTTAAGAACAGAATGACCCCTCTGCCCCCGTACTCATCTGATTTAAAAAGTAAAATAAGCTTGGGGGAGATCTGTACGTTTTCAAATGTGTTTTCCGTTTAACTGTTTTTTAAAAACCAATGCTATGTTCGCAAAGAGGCAAACTTAATTTAGCAAACCGTTTTAGAGGTAAATAGAAGTTTGGGCACTCTCGACTTTCTAGAGAAGCAAGAGAAATTCCTTTAGTTGCTAAAGAAAAGTGAATTCAGATTTTAGTTCATAAAACATGCTAACGCACTTATCGGGAGAGGTGGAATTCTTACCAAAGCAAAGCAACAGAGAAAAATTATTGTGAGTTAAAGAAGGAGACCACAGATTTCACTGGAGTCAGTGACTTCTTGCTGTAGTTTGATTTTTACCATTTTTTTTTTTTTCAAGATTCTAATGTGTTTGACAAGGTAGAAGCTAACAGCAGAATGCAAACCCAGGTGTCTCCCACGGATAATTGAAAATATTTTCTTGTTAAATGATGATAAAAATGCTAATTGCTGAGGAAGACGGACTGCAGGTGTGCAGCAGGCCCGGAACCAAGGTAAGGAGATGCCCTGGTCACCCATTTAAGAGTGAACAACAGAGGATTAATGTGATCAGTGACTATGCACCAGATAAGAGAATTTTCTAGAACCTATTTAATAACAGCTAAGGATTTTTGAAAAAAACATCAAAGTGTCACTATGCATTTATTTTGTTAGCTATTGTTCTAGAAATGAACCTTGCATATCACCATTCTCAAGCACTTCCATGGAGAATTGTTTTTTATTTTTCAATTATAACTGAATGCTAACTCTCTTTCATGTGACCGTACCAGTGGGAGATCCAGATGTCTGGACCAGGAGTGTAACAATGGAGGGGCCCCCACTTGCCTCTAGTAGTTTGCTCTCCTTATGAGGAAAGCACCTGAGAGAACATACAGGATAGCTTGAGTACTAAACCAACCAAACTCAACGAAAGCAAAGCCAAAACCTATATGGTAATACTGGCGAATGGCTGAGGCCCAGGACTCTGGACCAGACTGTTGAGTGTGAATCTCAGTTGTGCCACTTACTAACTGTGTGATCTCGCCATGTGTTTTAACCTCTTGGTGCCTCTGTTTTCTTATCTGTAAAATGGGGACAGATGGAGGGCTGTTAGAAAGACAAAATGAATTAATATTTGTGAAGCACTTAGACTAGTGTCTGGCACATAATAAACATCTTATGCTTGCTGTGTATTATTATTCTTAACAAATCTTCATTAACAACCCTTACTGAAGAAATTATTTTGATCACAGTTTTT